AGAGAGAGGCGAGTAGTAAATGGGGACTGGGGAACAATACCGACCTCCTCTAAAACCTGGGGACACACCCAGCCCAAGTCCTCGAGACCGAGGCAAGCCAATGACTGCGCTCGGACCCGCTTGGCCGTCGAGATTTTTGTTTTGTTTTGTTTTTTTTGCCCGGGGGGGGGGGGGGGAGGAGGGGGGGCCTCAAAGCGCACGCAAGAAGAAGAAGAAGGAAACATAGAGAAAGACATGCACAACAAAAAGCATCAAACAAATAAGCACAGACAAATTTCAAGTTTTAGCCCCAGAACGACCTCCAGCACTGGCGTGACATGCCGCCCCCTAAACCCTCAACCCTAACCCCTAAGTCCGAAACCCTAATCCCTAAACCCTAAACCCTCTCTACCATAAAAATTTAAACCTTAGTTGAATTTGAATTTCCGAATTTGGCCGCTGCATTTTCCGAATTTGGCCGCTTTTAGCTTGCTCAATATTGTGCTGGGTGGCTGGGTGTTATATCAGAGCCGTAAATAAAGCTTTACCATAAAACTGCTCGATCCGGAACCCCAAACCCTAAACCCTAAACATCTCCACGTAGTATTTATTGCCGCTGGGCAGCGAGAGGCCAAAACCCTAAACCCCGTAAACCCCTTAAACCCGTAAACCCCTAAACCCCTAAACCTTTAAACCACTAAAACCCCAAACCCTGAACCTTCCACTCAGAGTTGGAGTTCGCTGAGGTCCGCGGCAGCCGCCTGGTCGAGGTTTCCTTTGTTTTGGCTGGGGCCGTGCTTTCTTTTGTTTTGCGTCTTGTTTGGGTTTAAGGTTAAGGGCTTAGAGCTTAGGAGGGTGTAGATATTTGGGGTTAAGGCTTAGCCGGTTTCGGATTTAGGGGTTTACGAGGATGGACCTATAAACAGGGCACGTGTACGGGATGACAGGGTTTAAACAAGCAACTCTTTGGTATGGGGCTTGTTTTCGGTGAAGACGGGGCTTTTCTGCGGTTTAGGGTTTAGGGTTTAGGGTTTAGGGTTTAGGGTTTAGGGTTTAGGGTTTAGGGGGGCCCGAGCACTCAACCGTAGCTCAAGCTCTCCGGAATGACGGCGCGTGTCGAAGGGTCGGCGCACAAAGCTGCTGCCAAGTAGGGTGGTTGCCGAAGAACCGACAGCCCTAAACCCTAAACCCTAAACCCTCAACCCTAAACCCTAAACCCTAAACCCTAAACCCTAAACCCTAAACCCTAAACCCTAAACCCTAAACCCTAACCCTAAACCCTAACCCTAAACCCCGAATTAGAAGGCACAACAGAGGTCCATAGTTCAAGACCATTCTGGTAGGCCTACGGCATCCGGCCGCAGCTCAGCAGCGCTGGAAGCTCAGGGGGTTTAGGGGTTTTAGGGGGTTTAGGGTTTACCTAGGTGTGAGGGTTCAAGGGTTAGGGTTCAGGGTTTAGGGTCTAGTTCAGGGAGGATTGCAAGGGGAGGTTTAGAGTGTAGGTTCGGGTCTATAGGCCTATGGGGCTTAAAGTTGTATGTGAACGTTAGAAGTTTAGGGTGCTCCTCCACCACTACATTGTCGCCCCTCAAGGAATTGCGCCAGACCTTGTGAAGTTGAGTGCCAAGTTTGTTGGGTTTGGGCTTCCGACTTTGCGTAGTGTCGGGGATATTTTTTCAACGCCTTAGTCGCACTTTTTCGTGGTGTACCTGACTCCTTGCTAGTGTAACGCGCCTCTAGCAAGGCGTAGGGCATCTGCCTCTAACTACGGTTTAGTGTCTCTCCCCTAGCCCTTTAAACCCTGAACCCTGAACCCCTTAAACCGAAAACCCCTAACCCCAAAACCCCTAAAACCCCAACCCTAAACCCTAAACCCTAAACCCCTAAAACCCCCAAAACACCAAAAACCCCTAAAACCCCTAAATGCTAAACCCTCAACCTCCCCCCTCAACGCTAGAGGTGAACATTTCCCTCACGGGCACCCAGCGAGCCGGGGGAGCCATCACCTCCCTGCGCCTCAGTGGGGGTCTTAAGGGCATGTGTGCAGGGTTTAGGGTTTAGGGTTTAGGGTTTAAAGGTTTGGAGGGGGGGGGGGGGGGGGCCTTAACTTGGTCATTGTTGGGTACCATTTCACATATTTAAGGGTACTTAAACCCAGTAGGGTCTTAAAATTGAAATGTTTAATATTATCCCAACCATGAACTAGTTCAGGGCATGGGTGCAGGGTCTAGGGTTTAGGCTTTAGGGTTTAAGGTTTGGAGGGTTTAGGTTTTAGGGTTCATGGTTTAGGGGGTTTAAAGGGTTTAGAGGTTTTAGACGGTTTAGGGTTCAGAACCCGGAGAAGTCTGGCGGTTTGAATCCCGTCCCCTTTATCCAAAGCTCAAGCCCCACACAAAAGGGGCCTCATATTGTAGGGACCTGTAGGTATGACAGGTATAAGTTAGAAGTAGAATACTGTATAGTTCGGGGGTACTACGGTGACTTTAGAACATTAGGGTCGGGAGGTGTCTGATGAAACCCGAAACTCTAAACCCCAAACCCTAAACTCTAAACCCTTGGGCGCCTGTTTCATGTCAGCTGCTGTTGCACCGAACGAGAGAGATTGTGCTGCTTTCCGTGAAGGGCCCCGCGCTTAGAAACCCTCACGCATCCTACAGAACATGATGGGGATACTTGGCAATGATTTACATGTATTGGGTACCATAATGCCCAAGAAACAGCGTAAAAATTGAAATTTTAGCTAGGGCTCCAAGTTCAGTATAGTGGCATGACGGGGCTGCAGGAGGTGTTTGACACGGATGACGTGCTTGACTAGTGGTACAAATTAGGAACCCTAAGCCCTAAACCCCACTACTCGGGGGGGACGCTAGTATAGAGGGGGGTAGTAGGGAAACCCAAGATTTCAGCGTCAGGCTTCTTCACGGTGCAGTCTGCCTCCACGCTCTGGATCCGAGCGAAGGCGGCATTTTAACCAAACCCTAACCCCTGAACCGTAACTAAGCCCAAAGCCTCCTGTACACCTTTAGCCCGAAACTCTAAACCCTAAACTCTAAACCCTGAACCCTCAACCCTAAAGCCCCCAGCCCCTACACCCTTTTCTTCTAGAATGGACTCAGTCCTGCGCACAACGTAGGGTTGCGCAAAGGGCAGACTATCAAGGAATAGGGTTTAGGGTTTAGGGTTTATACCTAAGTAGCCCCTAATGAGCCCCTACACTGCCCCAAAGGTCCCCTGTAAGGGTCCCTCCTTGAGTCCCTTGGGGTTGAGGGTTTGAGGGTTTAGGGGTTTTGGCGTTTAGGGTTTAGGGGTTTAGGGATTAGGGGTTTAGGGGTTTAGGATTAGGGGTGTAGCTGTAGGGTTTAGGGGTTTAGGGTTTACGGGTTCAGAGCCCTAAAAAGCGCAGGGGTTGAGGGGGTTTCGGGTTTAAGGTTCAGGGCTTTAGTTCAGGATTCGGAGCTCGGTAGCTCAGGAGGTAAACCTTGAGGATGCTGGGCATTCACCCTGCTGCGGCATGTTGAAACCCGAAAAAGATTTTTTAAAAAGTTCAAGACCTTCAGAAGCCTGTAAAAACCTGAAGAGAAAAAAGCCTACTGTATAACGCCCTGTAGAACCCTCTAAAACCCCAAGCTTCAAAAGTTCGACAACCCCCCCCCCCCCCCCCTAAACCCTAAACCCTAAACACCAGGAGCCGATCGGCTTCGACCTTTCCTCGGCCTTTGTCTCACAGCTGCTCGGCTCTCGGGGTGTGTGTGTGGGTGGGGTTTGGGGGGCGGTGGGGGGTTCAGAGGCTTAAGGCTTACAAGGCTTAGGGTTTAGGGTTTGGGGGTGTGGTTGGGGGGGTAAGGGGTGGGGGGGTTGGTTGGGGTTGGGGGTTCAGAGGCTCGACGCTTATATGGCTTGAGGCTTTTCTGGCTTCAGGGTTTCGATCTAGGGTTTAGGGTTTAGGGTTTAGGTGCCTCCAGCTTTCAGGCATTCACGGTAAGGAGGTCCGTGTACACACGGACCCAACAGCTCCATGCCTTCCTGTGATGATCATACTTGCTTCCATGAAGGGTTTACGGTGTAGGGTTGTCTTGCAATGGCCAGGGTTTTGAAACAGAAGCTTGTTAGGGCTTAGGGTTTTGCCTAAAGCTGCCTTGAACCCGAAGTTTCGGGAGGTTTTTTTTCTTTTGGCGCGGGGGGGGGGGGGGGGGGTAGGGCCTTTTTGTTGTCTATTTCCATGGTTTTTCCTTGGAAACCTCTGTTCCCTTTCGCTTTCGGTCGGCCGGTGGCAGTTTGGCAGTTTTCCAGAACCGACAATAGTCTAACCGTATAGTTGTTGTAGGCAGCCGGTTTGCTGTGGGATGCCTTCTCCGTTGGTTCCATGATACAAGTAGCATGTCGTTTCTAGGGTTCTTAAGGGACGGTTCAAAGGGGGTATGTAACCCAAGGGTCCCAATACTCCCCACTACTCGCTAAGGCTCTCTGAGCTTCCCCAAGGTTCCCTGGTACCCTACCCGGTGGGCGGGTTTAGGGTTTAGGGTTCCGATGAAGCCCCCTCCCTTAAGAACCCTAGATTTTGTCTCTTGCCGAGAAAGCCTTCAAGACCTGCGATCGGTTTCCGGTCTCGCAGCAATTGTGTTTGTGTCAGTTAGGCTTCAGGCTTTTCATGACCTATTTCGCCATTGTGATGAGAAGGGTACCCTGCGTGCGCAGATGCCTTTCGCAGAATGTGCATGTACACCTTATGAAAGCAAAACTGCTGGGCCAAGTGATGTGAAGGAGAAGTTTTGGGTGTCGAGGAGCCGGCCTCACGAGTGCACACTTACGCAAGCTGCAAGCTCTAGCATCTAACAGTGTTAACGCGTAGGAGTGGCGCGCGCAGAAGGACTGCTGCAAAGTGCACAGGGAGCGATCTGGCTTTTCTAAACCGATATTTCCGTCCGTCGCGCGAGCCTATCAGATTAGATCGCAGGAATACAATGCATCAACTCCGAATTATTCACATGCAGACTTGTACAAGCACATGTTGAACAGGCACGATGGAAGGCATCGGCCAGTAGGGGAATTTTGAGGTAATGTGGCTTTGGAGCAATTAATTTAGCAGGATCCGAAAGCCCCCTCAGTCCTGAACACCCTAAACAGCCTCAACACCCAGACCCTTAGCCCTCAACCCTAAACCCTTAACCCTAAACCCTCTAAACCCTCTAAACCCTAAACCCTCTAAACCCTAAACCCTCTAAACCCTAAGCCCTAAACCCTAAATCCTCAACAGCCTCAGAAGCTGCGGAGCCAAGGCTGGAGCCCGCGCCCGCGGTGCGTGGCCAGGGAGACACGATGGAGATCGAGATGAACATCAGCTGGGGCCTCGGCCGCCAAGAGCCCCTGAAGAACTTAGGGCTGTTTTGGGGTTCATGAACTTAGGGTTTTTAGGGTTTCAGGGTTTCAGGGTTTCAGCGCTTCGGGGTTCTGGGTTATTGTCGGGCTTTTGGGGGCCTAAACGCGACTACTGGTTCTGGGTGGGGAATGGGACGGTGTAGGGATTGCTATAACGATCCATTCTCGCCCTCTTCGCTTCCAAGAGCCAAGAATCATGTCTACCCTAAGCCCTAAACCTCTGAACCCCTTCTAAAAACCCACAACAAAAGATAAAATCCTACCAAAAAACCCCTCGTGTTGTTTCCCAAAGCTCGCCCCCTGCCACTCCCTGAAAGCCAGGTGCCAAGCAGGAAGTCTCGATTGACTTGGCCAGCGTGCGCCTCCCGCTGGAAGGCAGGGGCTATCTTGGAAGTTCATGGTACTTATTAACCCAATAATGGGGTTTAGGGTTTAGGGTAGCTGTACTTATCACCCAATTGTAGCCGGGCACTTAAGGGGCTCGTAAGTGGAGTACAGCTATAATTGCTTCATAAGTACCATGAACCTCCAAATAGGGTTCCTTAGAGCGTTTTTTCAATGCAGTACTTATAGGGTTGCTATAAGGCTTTTGAAGGGTTCTATGGGGTTGTGATAAGGCGTTAATGGGGTTCTTATAGGGTTGTTATGAGGTTTTTATAAGGTTCTTTAGGGTTGCTATAGGGTTTTGTAGAATTCTTAGGGTTTCTAAGGCTCAGGGTTCAAAGTTCAGATCTCCGCTGGCTTACGGTTTCCGACAGGGTCGAAAAAGGGTTCTTGTAGGGTTCTTACGGTGTTGTTCTTCTTTCACGGGGTGTTTATAGGGCCTTTGTGGTTTTTTTTTACACTTTTCTTGGGCTTTAAGGGCTCGAAGCTCAGATCTTCGTTATTGTCTTGCTGGGTGCAGGTCCGCCTTGCGTACATGGGCCCACGAGGGCGGCGTTCGGGGCTCCTGTGTCTGAACCTCGAATATTCTTTGGGATGTTGCCCTTATACTAACAGTCCTCAATAGGGAGGGGGGGGGTTTTGCAGGGGGATTGTTAGTATAAGGGGGAGCATCCCCAAATGTTCTTGGGATAGTTTAAAGGACCCTGTTCCTACTGGCTGTTCAGGCTTAGTCGCACAAGCAGGGGCATAAGCGAGAGGAATGCATCCAAAAGCTCCCAATACTTGAAGCATCATCTCACTTCGCCCTTCGGGGCTGGCAGGTGGGGCAACCCTCTTCGATGCGCAGCACTCGGAGCGAGCTTTGCCTCCAGTCCCTGAGCACCCACCCTCCTTTGATCTAGAGCTCTGTGTTAGGATTTAGGCTGATTTAGGGCTTATAAGGGTTTAGTAATGTCTCAGTATACTGTTTTCTATAGTGGATAGTAAGGTTTCCTTGTTTCTGGCAGCTATCATGCATGTTCCTTAGAACCGCATCTCTCACCCTCAAGACCGAAACGTTCTTCTTGTGTTGAATTGTCCTCGCGCCGCCCTCAGAAGTAGGGATGGCTTTGTAGTACATGTCGGTCTCCCGCCCTTGCGAGTTTTGCAAACGCTATGGGGCCTTGACAGAAGCCTTGCTTAAGCTCTTAAACAGATGCCTGGTATACGCATGGGTCGCGCACCAGGTGCTTTGCACCATGCGCAACACCAGATTTCGGGGCAGTCCGTGGATGATCACGGTGTTCAACACAGCGCCGGCATCGGCAAGCTTGAAGGAGTCGCCTGTATGAGGGCTTAATATAGGGGTCGGAAGAAGTGCTAATAATATTCCCTTAGGGTCCCTATATAAATATCCGAGACCGAGAATAACCTCCTCCTCCCCCCCAAACAAAAACAAAAAACCTGTTCTAATTATTAAGGCCCCTAAATTACGGTGACTCTGACGTGGGTTAGGGTGCGCCAGCTCCGCGAGAGTTTTTGGGTCTAGGCGCGGAGGGGGCTCGGGAGGAAAGAAGGAACCGCAAACTCTAGTGATGTTCCGTTCAGCTTATCCGGCCCAGATCGTCAGCTACAACGGCTCGATGGTGCAGGACAGCCCACATTCCCTCAACCAGGGGTTGCCTTGGCTTCCTTCGGGGGGAAAAGGTCTCAGGGCTCCCTTAGAGTCCTCTTGGTGAAGTAAAAGGGGATCGAGCTGGTTCTCGCTTCGGGGCGCCTCTCTCTTGCATCCTAAACCCTAAACCCCAAACCCTAAACCCTAAAACCCTAAACCCTTCGAGGACAGCGTCTACGACGTTTCGGGTTTCTTCATCCCCGCCCACGTCTCGGTCTCCGACGTGGTCTTGCGCAACGCGTGCGCCACCTCAAGTGCGGAGCTTCATCTGAGAAGAACCCGGGTTTAGGGTCTAGAGTTTGGGGTGTAGGGTTTAGGGTTTAGGGTTTAGGGTGGCTACTATGAGGCCCCGCCGAAAATTGCAATGACGGTAACCTACAAGAGTGCACGTTTGGGGCAGGGGGAGGGTGGAGTCCTGTGAGCCTCGTTGGAAGGTACAAGCAGGACACCAGCGGCCAGCAGGGGCCTCAGACGGCCAAAGCTTCCTTATAAATGAAAGAGATCCTCTGCTGAGCCTCTATATTTGGGCTTAGGACTTAAGGTTTAGGGTTTAGGGTGTAAGGTCATAGGGCTGCAAGACATCTAGGATTTAAGTTTTAGGGTTACTAAGCACCGGAGGCCCTGAGGTGCTCTGGAGAATTGCTGGACAAAAGGCTTCAATGCTATACACAAGTAAACCCTGAAACTACTGAATGCCCGTTAGTTTAGGGTCTAGGGTTGAGGGGAGGGCTTATTGTTTAGGGTTTGGGGGGGGGGGGGGGGTATACTGACCATAGACCCCTTGTAAGGCTCAATTCAACGCTAACATGTAGACTCCGTTGTGAGTCAAAGCTCCTTTTGCTACACCAGCGTGGGACAAGACAATCGAATCGAAAGGGTACGAAAGGGCTCAAAAGGGTACACCCCGAAACCCTAAAGTCCCTCAACCCTAAACCCCAAAGTCTCTAAACCCTAAAGTCCCTAGATTGTGTGGTGGCCCAGTCCACTAAGGTTTGCAGTCGAGGCGACCTTCGGAAATCGCCGCTCGACCGGAAAACATGCTGCTGTTGCTTCTGGCCTCTGGGCCCTATAAGTCTTGGTAGCCCAGTGGAACCCTTGACCCGATTTTTGGTTCAAGGCTCCCTTGTAAAGCAACCAACCAAAAAAGTGGCGCCCTTAATCTGTAAGATTGTTTACTGGGCTACCAAGAAGTCCTTGAGAGGGCGGAAAATCCGCACCAGAACTAGCTAGCCCTGTGGTCGCTTAATTTGGGGGTCGGAATAATTGCTCCATTCTTCCCTCTCGGATTGCATGGTCGGTTGATGCTGTATTGGCAGTGCCTCTAAAGAAAACTCTCTAGAACATGTTTGGGTAGACTACGTGGGCTTGGTCGTCAGGCTTAGTCCCCAAACAGTCTGTCGACGCCAAGGGTTCCAACGTCCAAGGTAACAGGGCTAGATCAAGTGCTCTGCGCAGCACGCACAGGCAGCGCGCGCGGCCCGGCCCATGCGTTGTTCTTGAAGCTTGCTCGTTTTTGGACAACAATAGCGCTCTCGCCTTGGCGCAAGCGTGCCCTCACTCGCTGCCCTCGAAACCGTGATGAGTATCTTTTTGGCTTCGGGGTTCACAAGGTGCGTAACTGTCGTTGCTTTACAGGACTTTGAGCTCACATGGTCTCTCACTGTTTGGGGTGTGAGACGCTCCAACATGCCCTGAAACGTCTAGTCATCATGCAGCCTTGCAGGTAGGGACATGCCATGAGAATTTCAACTACCGCCATAAACCCTAAACCCTAAACCCTAAACCCTAACCCTACACCCCACATCCGAAGAAGTCCGATGTTTTCAGGCCAGGGTTCCAGGGGCAGCAGCAACGAGCACCCTACGGCCCAAAAAAACAAAGAACCCAAAGCAGCGTCCGAAAGTTTTTGACTAAGGGTGGCAGGGTTTTGGTTTTGGGGTTGTCGGTTTAAGGTCTAGTGTTTGGTGTAGTTGGTTTAGGGTATATCTTGGACCAGCGCATGAGCAAAGGCTTGGGAGAAACTGCCAAACTGAGTGCACGGCGGCTTGGCAGAGACGAGGTCTTGGTTAACCGCTGTCGGGCTCAGGACCTACGTTTAAAGGTTAATGGGCTTAAAGGGTTTAGGGCTTCGGGTGTATATTTTTTGTAGGGTTTAGGGTTTTGGGCTCATGGAAGTTTATGGGGTTTAGGGTTTAGGGTTTATAGGGCTTAGGGGTCATAGGCTGCAATTCGGGAAGCAGCCATGAGGGTCTTGAGGCCATTCAGGCGCAATCTTCTAATCCATGATTCGGAACCCTACCAGAACTTCAACAATCACATTCGGATTCCTCTAAACCCTAAACCCTAAACCCTAAACCCTAAACCCTAAACCCTATTTAGTAGACTTTGAGGAAGTGCAGCCCTTGAAATCGTAGCAGGCTCCCGGTTTGCGATTTCAAGTGTGTCGCTTCACTCGGGTATACAACGACACCACCAGAAGCGCCCCCTAAAACCCTCTCAGGACCCCCGAATCTGGAACCCTAGAAGGTTTGGGGTTTAGGGCTGAGTTCGAGCTGTGCTGACAAGGTGGGCGCTGAGCTCAGCAATGCCGGCACAGCGGGGTGGCTCAGACTTCAGGCGGTGTAGGATTCAGATTGGGTTTGAGTAGGGTTTAGGGTTTAGGGTTTCGGGTTTAGGGTTTAGGGTTTAGGGTTTCGGGTTTGCAGTCTCGGTGAAGAACTGATGGGCTTTGCAGGACTGGTGCCTGCTCTCTTCCTACTATAGCTACTTATAGCTGACAAGTATGTACTTTCTTTCCAGGGTCTACAGTAGGGTTGATCCAAACCCCAAGAATGCAGGTGTCAGCGCTATCTCTTCCCTCGCCCATATGGGGGTTTACGATCTTCGGGGTACCATGTTGGGGTCCTTACTATAAAAAGGATCCTACTATTTTGCGGGTAAATTTCGGGGTCCCCTGTTTTCGTAAACCCCAAAATATCTCTTGAGCCAACGCTCGATGTCGCTCCCACCCTAAACCTTAAGCCCTAAACCCTAAACCCTAAATCACCTGGCATGCAAGGTCTGTCTTGAGGATCGTGGCTGCGCGGCCACCTCAGTGGACAGAGCCTGTGATCAAGATGCCGCCGTCTCCAGCGCAAGGTTTTAGAGGGGCTCGGAGCCATCATTCTCTCCATCTTAAGCTCATTGGGTGGTTGTCTCAAAATTATGATCCCCTTTTTGGATCCCTTCTAGAATACGGCACCTAAGATTTAGGGGACCCCAAAAGGGATAATAATGTTGACAGCCACCCTAATGTATCCGTTTGACTGCAGATGACCCAAAGCCTCCTAGTGGAAGGTGTCAGTGCCAGCTGGCAGGTAGCAATAGGAACGTGTTCACAAGACGCTCTGTTACAAGAAAAGGAGTCTCCCAAAAACCTAAAGGGACGTGACTTTCAACAATCCCCCCCCCCCCCATGCCAAGACCTAAACATCCCCAAGCTCTAAAAGGCCGTGAGCCACAAGGCACCGTATCTATCTGAACCCAAACCCTGAGGCTTCAACCTTGCCCTAGACCCTCAACAAGACCCATACACCCCTAAACCCATACACCCCTAGACCCTAAACCACAAACCCTCAACCCTAAACCTTAAACCCTACCGAGAGCAACTTTCAGGCACTGGCACTTCCTGCCTGGCACATCCAAAGCCAGGGCCGCAGGGCCTGAGAGCCGTAATGAGACCCTTGAGGTCTTTTAGGATGTTTAGAGAATGTTTAGAGCGTTTTCAGAGGGTTCTTAGAGGTTTTTAGAGGGCGAAGAACTGAACCCTTAACCCGAGCGACCTTGCTAAAACCTTGGTTAGGGTTTGGGGTTTATGGGTCAGTAGATTTGCGTGCCTCGACTCGGATCGCTGAGTGTCGCCGCCTTGTTTGAAGCTTTAGGGTTCGGGGTTCCAGGGTTGTGGGCTTAGGGTTTCGAATGAATGTGAGAGTTTCCCCCTACATAATCCTATATGTGACACCTGAGTACCTTCATTTAAGCTTGACAAACGGTGATTCCTACAAGTCCCCGGAGCCCTGAAGAAGAACAGAATGAGACAAATGAGGAGAAACGGATGAGTTTGAAGGTCACGTAGTCGAAGACGAAACTAAGAGAATGAAGTCCCTGATGGGTCTCGCATTTTCTACTTTTTTCGAACTTTGTAGATCGAACTTTGTAGATATCATCTAAACGCGTGTCAGCAAATTGTTATACACATATTCATTCATAGCCATTGACGTGCGCAGATATCTTTTACTTCGTGCCAACCTCGAAGTCACCAGCATCACCCTCAGATGGCGGAGTCTCGCCCGGACGGCACTGCGACAAGCTTGGCGACAGTGGTTGTCGAGGTGCGGACGTCGGACTGTCAATGCGGTTTAGGGTTTAGGGTTTAGGGTTTTGGGTGTAGGCTGTAGGGTTTTAACCTTCTCTCCAGGTCCAAGAGTCGTCCCCTTCTCTCCACCAGCATGGGCAACGAACAGTATGAGGGCTCAGAAGAAGTAGCATATACTTTCTTAAACCTTAAACCCGCTTAAACCCTGATTTCTAAACCGTAAAGGTAGACTTCCGGAGGCACAGGTTTTTCCTCAGAGGATGGGATGGAAGGGGCAAAGTAGGGACCTGGTTCCAAGCCACCAAGCCTGCCTCAACCATGAGCAGTTGATCACCTTCACCTGAAAGCACCCTCAGGAGGGAGCTTTGTTGAGCCTGCGGTTGCCCACGGGACTTCAGCCTGCAAGGCGTGAGGGAAGGGTTCTCCAAGATTCTTTGAGGCTCCTAGCTTTTACTAGGTAGGCCCTTAGGGGAAATTTGTTGTTTCCCCTTGCTAAGAGGATCATACTTAGGAGTATACAGATACGTACAGTCTTGTTGTTCAGAGGCTTCAGGGGTCAACCAAGTTTAGGTTGGATCCTACTCCCAGGGCTCAGGGTTCCCAAAGCCACTAAATAAGAGCCGGGCCCAAACTCCCCTCAAAGCCATGTTGAGAGTTTACTGGAGGGTTTCGGGTTTGGGGTTCAAGGGGGGGGCCTACACTCACCCTCAGACCCCCCAAGCACTTGAGACATGAGTGATTATGCCTATCATTGGTATTGTTATCATGACTGTTGCTGTTTCTACTACTCAACGAACTCTCATCGTTACTATTTGTATCATCGTCATTGTTGTTGCTATTATCATGGTTTCTGTTATTCCTATTAATATGATGCTCATTGCAAGTTTTATATTCTCTTGTTATTACGATTATTAGTGTTATTACGATTATTCTTCTTATCATTCTTAGTAGTAGTAGTAGTAGTAGTAGCAGCAGTAGTAGTAGTAGTAGTAGTAGTAGTAGTAGTAGTAGTAGTAGTAGTAGTAGTAGTAGTAGTAGTAGTAGTAGGAGCAGCAGCAGCAGATGCTTGCTGTATTTCTAGTTATCTGTTCCGAAGAGGCTGGCAAGCTACCTCATCGAAGTCGAGGTTCTGGCGCCCACGCCCCTCGGGGCAAGTTTTCACGCGGCTACTTCGGGTTTTTGAGCCTGGGGGAGTTTACAGGGTTTCGGGGGGTGAGGTTGAACTTCGAAATCCTGTGTGGGGGAGGGGGGGGAACTGAAAACCTGCATTCTTGGACTGTACAGAATCATAATGCAGAACACCCTTCCACTCCTAGGCCCAGCCAGTGCCTTTGCTTCGCTGCGGGCCTTTGTCAGCAGCCTGACTGCACCAGCGGCTTAGGGTCTACTCCTAGGTCCTAGGACAACATAAGCATGTGGGATCCCCACGAAGAGCTCCAGTTACAGAGTTGAGAAGAGCCTGGGAATTTGGGGGTGCGGGGGTTGGGCTTCGCTGTAGGGCCCTTTAGGCACTTCAGGGTGTAGGGATGCTTGAAAGTTGTGAGAAGTCTGTAGAGCGTACATTTGAGGGTTTTAATGGCATGGGGCGGCTCCTGGAAGATAAACCCTGAAAACCCGAAAACCTGAGAACCTTATAAACCCTAAAGCCGATAAACCCTGTAAACCCTGGAAACCTTATCAGCCCCATTAACATAATCAACCCAATAGACCCTAGAAACCCTGACCCCCATGGGACACATGTGCCCTTTGACACAGGCTCTGCCAGACCAACTGGTCCATGGAGGCGGATCTCTATGCTGGGTTCGGGGGCAGGATTCAGGTAGGAGGCAGGGAACCGAGACGCCTCAATATGCTTGATATGAGGATCTTGGGGGGGGCAGCTCCCATTCGCAGAATTATATACAGGATTGAAGTGGAGTGGATGATCTCGGTAGTGCTTCAGGCTCCTGTATTACAGGTGGCTGGGTGTCCCAGAATTGAAAGCCGGACCCTCAACCCTAAACCCTAAACCCTAAGCCGCAGACTCGAATTCCCAAAGCTTGGGCACTGTCAGAACTTCGACTCTTGGAGCAGGTCCTTGATACTGACGGCGCCGTCGTCGGCTCCAATGATGCGTTGCTCGTAGGCCAGAAAAGGGTTTAGGGCGTAGGGTTTAGGGTTTCGGGTTTAGGTTTTAGAGTTTAGGGTTTAGGGTTTCGGGTTTCCTAGGGTCTCAGTTGTGGCTTCAGTTGGTGTGACTCTGCGGCATCGGCAATCGGATAGACTCAGATGCCAGGAGCCAGTGGAGTCTTGCTGACCTACACTCCTCCACCGGGCGTGACACTTGTGCACACGCTACCCTGAACCCTAAACCAGCTTCTCGTTCGCAGGCTTCGCCCTCGTCTCAGAGGCACGCCTTGCATTCTCCCGAGTGGATAGCCAGGACTTGGCTAAGGAGCCCTAAAGTTTAGGTTTCTTCTCCAGGCCCTTAGTAAGTGCAAGAGTACGAGGTAAGTACAACGGCCCGCTCCTTAAAAAATCCTTTCAGCCCCCCTCATCTTCCCAAAATTTCGGGTCAGGGCCTCGTCTATAGGGTTCAAGGTTTACGGGTTAGGGTTTAGGTTTCTGTCCGTAGCCTTCAGGGTTTAGGCTTCAGGGCTTGCATCCTCCGGCTTCGAAGGTGATTTGGGACGTGTTCGCCCTCCGAGCGCCACCGCAGGCACTACTGGCTTGGGCCCTGGATGGGTTTAGGGTTTAGGGCTTGGAGTTTAGGGTTTTAGGGTTTTAGGGTTTAGGGTTTAGGTGTTTAGGGGTTAGGGTTTAGGGCTTACTTGGAAGCCCTTTGGCTTAGCCAGTAGGGTTAGTAAGGTGGGTTATGGGGGATTCTACTAGGGCTTCTAGGAGGTACTAAGTAGACTGACTAAGTCAAAAGAGCTTCCAAGTAGGGAAGTTTCAGGTTTTTGGGTTATCGGCTTTTGGTGTTTCAGGGCTTCAGGGTCGAGGGTTCCGGGGTCCTCTGGGTCCTCTGGGTCCGCTGGCTTCAATGCAAAGTCCTGTTGGCCCCAGCAAGGAATTCCTACCACTAGCATGCGCAGCTTATTAAAGATTTTGTTATGACTTCTGACTTCTGAAGCAAAACCGGGCGCACCACGAGGATGTGACACTTCGCCTCACGACTGTCGGTGCAGTGCCGGCCACGGCACGGGGTCCAAGCAATCCTTGGGGTTGCGGTCTTAGGTGGGTTTGGGGCGATTCGCAACCCTGAGATACCACCCCCATGCAACCTCTGAAGCCCCAAAGCTGTTCACCGTTATGCATTTTACACATTTCTTAGCAGGGCTCCAAGAAGCCAAGAACAGTCAACTTCATCCTACCCTAAGCCCGAAAGCCTCAATCTTACGCCCCCAGCCCGAAGCTGCAATTTTCGAGGGTTCGAGCGCGACTTCGCCTCCGAGTCCAGGTGCTCATGGTTACGGCACCCTTTGGCTACGAGTTCCCGCCTGGACCCAAGCGCTGCCAGAGCTGTTGGTTGGGGTTCAGGGTTTAGGGCTTAGGACTTAGAGTGAATCAAGGGTAAGTTGGTATAAGGTCCTGTTTTCGGGTACCCTAAACTGAATGTAGGGTACCCTACATTGAATGTAGGAGCCCATGCTACAATAGGTGCTCAACAAAAGGGACGCTAGTTTAGGGATCGAAGATCGGATGAGGTACCAATGCTTCGCACTCCTGGCGCTCAATGGCACCGTTGCAGGGCTGCCGGCAAGGGTCTCAGGCGACCCTAAACCCCTAAAGCCTTAAGACCCCAAACCTCAAAGCCTTAATCGCAAGAACCCGTAGAGTCCCAAAGCTCGGAATGGGAAGTCCTGCTATACTCAGACCTCGGTGGCGACCAGGCTCCTTGAAACACTTTGCTCAGAGGTAAGGCCACATGTCTACTAAGCATGTGGAACAAATGCGTTTCGCCATATTTGATAGAGTTCTCCTCCCCCACATATTTGCTGGCCACTGTGCTTTTCCCATGTCCAGCTCTTACCATCTTCCCATGCGATGACCACAAGCGAGAGAAAGAGAGACAGACAGAGAGAGAGAGAGAGAGAGAAAGAGAGAGCCTCTTCTTGAGGAGACTGGAGGATGCCAAATGGAACCCCAAGTTTCCGCCAAATTCCCCAAATTGGATATCTTAGGAATCCTGATGCAGCTTCCAAACGGAAATTTCCCTTAAGCCCAAACCCTAAACCCTCGGTGCATTCCTTAGTTGGGTTTTGGGGGCCCTCAGGGCTGTGTGGTTCCCCTAAGCTGTTGAAGCCTGAAGCCCTGCAAACCCCTGAAGGCCGTAAACCCCGGAAAGCCCCAAACCAAAGCCTAAACTAAGCCCTTTCAAGCCCAACACCTGAACCCTCCAAACCTTACACCCCGAACGCCCGCCGACCAGGGTTTGTCCTAGGGCAGTTTCATGGGCCCTTAATGTGGTCCCTAGCACCTCTCTTATGGGTTCTGATGCATGGGCCCTGAATTTGTGGGTATATAAGGGGTCCCCTTTTAAGGGCCCATACTCAGGGACCATGTGCCTACCCTAAGAGTTGGAGCATGGGTCAGTTTGAGGTCTTCACGCAATGCACCGGCCGCTTGAACAGCGCCACACTGCTTCTGGACGATCAAGGCACCTCGGGCTTGAGGTAGGTTTAGGGGTTTAGGGGTGTAGGTGGGTTTAGGGGTTTAGGTTTATAGGGGTGTTGGGGATGTAGGGGTTTAAGGGATTTGGCGGCTTGCGGGGTTAGGGTTTGGGGGTTGAGGGCATAGGGTGGCCCTGAGACTCCCACTGCTTTTGGAAGTTTCGCTGATCCTGCCTGGGGTCCACCTGAAACCCGAAAACGGGATAATTATAGGGTTCAGGGTGAAACAGTCTAGGGTTCAGGGCTTCGGGTTTATGATTCCGGGCTCGGATGGCTTACTCTGCACTCGGCAAGGCCTCTACCGCTCCAGCAACCTCCAGCTGCGCGTCACGACGCCCCGAACCACGCCGCCCGACAATCGCTGGTGCTCCGGCAGAAGGGTTTAGGGCTTAGGGGGTGGAGTTCTCTTCGAGCTTGGGGAGGTTCAACCTAAGTTCAACACACTAAACCCTTGGGCCCTAAGCTCCAACCCTACCACCCCGAAAACCCTTTTGAGGGAACGCTCTGCCAACTCCACTACTAATTGCTTAAGAAAACCCCCAAATAATTAGAAAATAATCCTCCTCATAACGGTAATTTCGGGATTTTCATCTTTAATTGTTTGGGGGTTCTTACGCAAAGAGCCCCAAGTCTCCAGGTACATCCAAGGCAGACTCCGGCAGGGCAACACCGAGGCGCGGGCGCTAGAGAGCTGGGGAGTTGTTTGATGGAGGTGCAAAAACCTCGACCCTACACCCGAACACCTTTCTAGGGTTTAGGTTTTAGGGTTTTAGGGTTTTAGAGTTTTAGGGTTTGAGGGTTTAGGGTCAGAGTTCGAACACATGCTGCAAGCTTGCGAAGCTGCAGGGTGCAGCTTCCTACCTCCCGAAGCAGCTTTTCTTTGACTTGGTAGCCCAGTAGTACCCTTTACACTTTTTTCTGGGTTCCCTTATAAAATAGCCAACCCCAAGAAGGGTGCCCTTATTACAGTATGGTTGCTGGGCTACCAAGTTGAGCACAAGATGCCTCCCCAGAGGAGTCTCTCGTTCGAGTACGCCCAGCCCCTGAGGAGAAAGAGACTTGAGTTTGGGCCATCGAGCCCTTGTTTCCCTGATTCACGGTTTCGGGATGTCCCAGTAAGCCAGGGGCCTGACTTCCTTGTGGCCAGGTCTGCTGGGGTGTGGCTGACGGCCTTCCCAGCCAGCAGATGACGCCCCTCAGCGTCGAAGAGCTCGTAGCTAAGGGCTTCGTAGGTTTGTGTTGTGTTTGGGTTGCGGGTCCACGGTTTTGGTGAGGGATAGAGGTTTATGATGGGCTTGAAATTTAGGGCCCTCAAGCCCGGTGCGAGGGTACTTCAACAAAAGAGAAGAGGTGTCACGCTCCACCCCCAACAGAGAGCCAGCCCATGTCCTCCCTTCCTGTCCTAGGTAGGATAAGGGGGACCCTTAAAAAGGAACCCCTTCTGAACCCTCTTCTGGCTCTCTTAAGCAGGGACCTTATTCAGAGGGTCTATATCCCCAAGGGTCCCCCTAATCCTATCCCCCATCCTGAACCTTGAACCCTAACTCAGGGACGTGTCGGTGGAGTTCGCGGCCCTGCAGACGTGCTCTTCTCAGCTCCACAAGAATTTCGAAGCAGCCCGAAAAATAGAGAAACTGGAGCCAGGAGACCCGTCTGAAGTCGTTTGGGTTTCAGGTTGTGCGCCTCGGTCTTGTGGGCGCGGGCGACGCAGCATGTCTCCCACACTCATATAGTTTCGAACTTTGCTTCCTGCTCACTCGCACAAACCCGATTAAGGTTATATGGCTGCGTTAGTGCGATTTAGCTGCGTCAGTTCAGATCCAGGCTACAGCACGGCCATACAGCGCGTTCCCCAAAAGTTCTGAACCAGCCTTTTGTGGTATACGTTCGTACGTACACATACATAGCTACATGCATACATACATACGTACATGCAGGAGCATGCTCATCCACATGCGAACACAGGCTGCACACGGTGTTCCTTTTGCGCGTGACCACGGAGGTGGAGGCTCCCTGCATGTTGGACTTTAGGATTTCAGGTTTGGGGACAATAAAGGACTAGGGCTTGAGGACTTTGGGGTGCTGACCTTTGCGGCAGGTTTCCGGCGACAGTCTATGTCACAACTTCTAGATAATATCACGAAACCTTAACCCTAAACCGGTCTTGGTCTGCCTTGGCGCAGGCCACCAGACAGTTCTGCGGGCCTTGCTATGCTGGGCTTAGGGTTGAAGCTGGTTGAACCAGGTTGAAGGTTCGGGGTTCAGGGTTCAGGGTTTAGGGCTTAGGGTGTCATATCTTCGCAAAGCCGCAGACATATCTTCTGCACGTCACGAAGGCCACCCACCACAAGCTCGCTTGCGACAGCGGCTATTGCAAATCGCCAGGGTTTTTTGGACCTTGCTGAACCACCACTGTAGGGCTTGAGCCTTACGACTACTGGACACCCCTAATTTTTTGTAGACAGGATGATTGGTGGAGTTGGTTGAGTTTTTTATGGATGGGCTGCATGTCCGATAAGCGCCCAGGTAACAACCATAAGATTTGCCAACTAAGCCACAGATCAATGGGAAAGGCCGCAGCAACATACAGGGGGCTCTGGATGCAGAATCCCCAGTCAATTGAGTTCGCGAACCAGCAAACGGACCCCTGAATCATAACGCAGAACAAGAAAGGGGGCTCATTTCGCTGACTTCGTTCTCTTTACAACCATGTGTCTTCATCAAAGAGTGCACGACTGAACAGCCGGACGAACGAGCTTACAATGTAACATTCTTTGCCCTCATATATTTCTTGAAGGGAGAGAGAGAAAGAGACAGAAAGAAAGAACAACAAAAAGACATAATATTCTAAAAATAAAGTGCGATAAGGAACCATATTACAGTTTGAACCCCTAAAGGACTCGAGCCTTCCGATCCTGGCACGGATCCTGTCCCTGCAGAGGTTGCCACGGGGGGATCTTTGGTTGGCACCTGAGCTTAGGGCTTGGGGCTTTGCTGGCTGGTTCTTCGTAGGGAATGAGGGGATTAGGTACCTTGCATCCCCCTAGACTGCTACCCTTTAAGGGATTATGATGGGGTACGTAAAATTCTCTCATTCCCCACGAAGAGCCAGCAGGCTTAGGGTCTGGCGGTTTCCGGCACCATTCCTCGTTTAGTGCGGCACATTGTGTTGACTGCACAATCCAAGAAGGAGCACCAACCAGGAGATACGAAGAATGAAGAACGGCGCGTTGGACCTTGGGCCTTCTGTTCAGCTTGCTTGTCTGAGCGTGGTTTTGTGGCCGCCTTCCATCCTGCACATCGAGGTCGTCATACCTCCTCCCGGCTATCTCCTCTCTTGCCGCAAGCCCAGTGAGGGTCTGGGGTCCTTTATGTGGTTCGGGGTTTCTGAGTTTCGGGACTTGGGCTTTACTCACAATGTTGCAGAGCCTTTTTCCTCGCTCCTTTGTTCTGAGACTCTGAGGCACAGGCCTCAAGCTCTTCTATGCCCCCGGCATGGCCGGAGGGCCAAGATGTCTGGCAGTCTCAGATCCCCCCTTTTCGGGCTTGTCAATGGTGTTCAGAGTGATCCTTGTTGCAATCCCCTCTTGGCTTCTATGCTTCTCTTGGTAGCCCCAGTGGTACCCTTTACCCTTTTTTGGGTTCTGTTTCCCTTATAAAAAAATATCCAACCCCAAAAGAGGTGCCCTCATTGTAAGATGGTTGCTGGGCTACCAAGGTTTATAGAAGCCTTACGTAGGGCAGGGCTAGGGACTTCAATCCTGTGGCTGTCCCTAACGTAGGCCTTTGGAGCCCAGGTGTGCTGGGTTCGGCCGAAAGTGCACTGCCTAGCTTCCAAGCGGGTCCCGTCAACCTTAGGGTTTAGGGTTTAGGGTTTAGGGTTTAGGGTTTAGGGCTTAGGCTGCACTACACAAGCTGAGCTCCCCTTATGGAGCCCTAAGCCCACCCTATTCAAAGACCTGCTGGGCCCTCCAGAGCCCTGAGCAGCCAGGCGGGAGACAACACGAGCCGGGGCCTAACCATGCGAGTCCACACTCAGGTCCCGCTTGTCCCCCGTCTAGAAAACCCTCAACGCTAACTTTGTAGCTGAGTAGATGAACTTTAACCTTTTGGGGCATGTACAATCCCACCCTAATTCGAAGGTTAACCTTTTTTGGGGCCAGGGTACTCAGCAACTAGGCTAAGTTCTACACCGCGCCTATCCTCTCCTTTTGCTATCTTGTTTTTTTGTGGGGGGTGTAAAGGCCTTGTTGTAGGGACCGCGGAGATTGCTAGCCTGAACCCCGAAATCCTAATCCGCAATCCTTCTCTTTAGGGTGTAGGGTTTAGGGTTTAGGGTTTAGGGTTTAGGGTTTAGGGTAAGTTTAGGGTTGAGGGTTTAGGGTTTAGGGTTCAGGGTCCTTCTGGAGGGATTTGTTGGACCGTGCCGAGGCTTCACGGGATGCTCCAGCTATCGCCAAGGCCGGGCGGGAGCCTTCCTGACAGGGCCTCCCAGAGAACCCAGAAAAACCCTAAAAGCCTTGCTTAAGGAGTGAGCGGTGTTAGGGTTTAGGGTTTAGGGTTTAGGGTTTTAGGGCGCTCTAAGTTGTTGTTGTTCTCTTTTGTTTTTTTCTGGGCTTCCTCCGCAGCTTGCCCCTTGAGGCATTCAGATCGTCTTCGCAGCGACCCCCATGCTGGCGGGCTCCCCTTACGCCTTTGGAATCCAGGCCTCTGTCCGGTTGTCATGACATGCAACTTCTGTCAGTTCTCTAAGGTTCAGTGGTCCCTTTCGGGGGCACCCTGCCCTAGCTTCTTTGGGCCGCAGTATCACAGGCATCCGAAATCCCTGTTTCAAGCATAAAGGGCCTTTATATCTCGCCCCAGTCCACGCAGGGCGGCACTGCTGCAGCCAGCGCCGCGGATCGTGCCGCGGATGTCTTCGCGCTGCAGGCGACTGGGAAGGAAGGAGCAGTCGGGTGGATGTGGGCCCAGCTACGCCCAATGACATATTGTATGACATCACATGAGATGATGTCGCAACATGATACGTACTAATAGAAACTCTCCTAAGATGAAAAAGAAGATCTTACATCGCAGCATACATGCATATTTTCTTACTGAGAGTTGCAAATGTCTGCTTTGTGAGCCTACAATTTCGAAGCCCAACCCATCGCTGCTGCAGGTCTTGAACCCCTCAGGCACGGTCGCCGAGCCGCAGCCTTAAACCAGCGTGTCGGAGGCATCCGAGGCAGATGGTCTTCGGGGTTTGGATGGCCCCAAAAAACTTTCGAGGGATGCTGATCGTGGCAGGTATAATAGTAGTTGAGGGGAGAGCGGTTGGGGGGTAGATGATCCTATGTCCTCAACCCTGGGGTGTGGATGACCCTAAGAATTTTCTGAGGTCTGTCCCCAAACCCTAAACCAAAATCTCTTGGCTCAGGGCTCAGACTTGGGCTCCGGGCCGTTCAAGTTCGAGCAACACACTCTGAAGTCGATTGCTGAGTTTAGGGTCTAGGGTTTAGGGTTTAGGAAGTTAGCGGCCACGGGTGTCGCAAGAATCCAAAGGCCCAAGCCCGCGGCTCCCGTTTCCGAGGTCCAGCTTCTCCGTCCAAGCACCGCGCAGCCCCAAGAGCAAAGTGGAAGTCGAGAGGTCTTGGACTACAGGGGCATGGCGAGATGCTGATGTTCACATGCAATCTTCTGACACCACAACAAGCATTGTCAAGTCTGCAAAGCCCCGGAGCATCGGGAAAAAAAACTCATCATTCCTGTGCTGTTTGCGCGATCCTCTAAAACCCTCAACCCTACCTTCCAGGCCCGACCATCCTCCACTCTAGGGTTTAGGGTTTAGGGCTTAGGGTTTAGGGTTTAGGGTTTAGGGCTTCGGGTTTAGGGTTTAGGGCTTAGGGTTTAGGGTTTAGGGTTTAGGGTTTAGGGGTTGTTGGCCCTTCAGCGAACCCGTAAAGCCATGAACCCCCCAGAGCTCAAAAGGCCCAAAGTGCCTAAACCCCCCGTAGAAGCCCCCTCTCCGCGAGCCGCAGAAAACCCTCAACGCCCCTGCTGCAAATCCGAAATCCGACCCCTAAACCCCAAACCCGAAACCCTAAATCCTAAACCCCAAAACCCCACTAAGTCCCAAACCTCCTTCAAAAACCAAGTCCGAGGCCCCTGCAAAGTTTCGGCTCCATGGAGCAGCAAGGGGCTCAGGTTAAGGTTTGAGGGTTTAGGGATATTTGGGATATTGAGGGTTTGAGGGTTTGAGGGTTTCTTCGGGGGGTTGAGGGTTTGAGTTTGTTTAGGGGGGGGTTGAGTGTTTAGAGCAGGGGAGTTCGGTAGTGGGTTTTTAGGGCTTGAGCAGGTTGAATGGTTCTGGTTTAAGGTTTCGCGGCTTCTCAAGGACTTCTACCTTAAACCCCTAAGGGCTGTACCCAGTCGTGGGGATCCTTTCTTAAACCCCTGAATCCCTCAACACCCTGAATCCTTCATTCAACCCTCAGACTCAACACTCCAAACCCCAAACCCCTAAACGTCTTAAACCCCCCCCACTTGCACCCCTGCCCCCGTCGCCCCATGGCCCAGGCCCTACCTGCTTTGGTACGACCTGCCGACACCGGGCACGAAGGTTTGGGCGTCCCATCTGCACACAGGAAGGGGTTGAGTATGTTGGGCTCTTTGGGTTCAGGTTTTTGGGTTTAGGGTTTAGGGTTTAGGGTTTAGGGAGTGGACAGAGACCTCTCCGGTTCATGCCTCACCTTCAGTTTGCTGTGTCCTTCGTCAAACAGGATTCCTTGGAACAGACGTCAGCCAGAACCAGCAGATGAGTCAACTGGCTCTGAGTAGGGAATGGGGGAATGAGATACCCTATAGAATCCCTTAAAGGGTGTTTTTGGGGCCCGGATTCCCTAATTCCTTACGAAGAACCAGGGGGTCAAATGTGTCTCAGGGCCCTCAACTCTTAGGTACTTACCGCTGGTCAAGACGAGGGCGCATTCAGATAGCTTCACATGATGCGGTTCCGTCCGACATGAGCACCAAAGTCTCAGGGTCCCGCATCCCCAGCCAAAGTGCAAAGTCCAACGACCGTCCTAGAGCCCTTTTGCTGAGGTTTCGCTGGGCCTCCGTGTGCCTCGCCGTGCGCCAGCCGGCTTGGAAACTTTGAGGACGGTGCTCTGGGGGGGAGAGGGGGGGGATCTCAGAGGCCGGGGTTTGGGGCTTGTTGGATTTCTAGGCTGTAGGGTTTCCGAGCCCAAGGGAGGGGGGGGGGTCTAAAGAACTGCCCAAACGGATTAAGGGTTGCTAAGGTTTCGCCCGGTTTCTGATCGCATGAAATACGATGTAGAGTCGGCAAGGGGCATTTCAAGACACTCTCCTTCACTCTCGATGTGTGTGTGTGTGTGTTTTAGCCGTTTTCCGTTGCTCGTTACCTCTGTTCCCTGATCAGAAAGTGCTCTCGAAAGCTACAGCCTCAGGATTTCCTTGCCGGATGGCTACGAGCACACAGCTCTTGCACGAAATCGAGATGAGATCGACGAGCGCAGCTCTCGACTCAGCTTTTGCTCGTGGGGTTGGGACCTGCCATTTGAAGGGCAATGTACAGAGCCATTCGGATTTAAGCTTCCCGAAGACCCAAACGGCCGAGGCGTGACGCTGGCCTGGCGCCCGCTTCAGCTGCCCTCGAGCCCGGCCGGCATCTTCAGCGACTACGAGGCAGGCACATGCCTTGTGAAGGAGGAAGGGGTCAGAATAGGACAGAGCACAATGGCCCCCTAAGTCAGAGAATGACCACCATGGACGTTCCGCCGTCCCCACCCCCTTCTGTCAAATGGCATGTCACCTTGCTATGATCACGCTGCCTCTTGGCAAGCTATATCTAACGCTCCCATCCCTACTATTTGCTCAAGAACCACCAAAAAAATCAAAGGTAATCATCCCCATATTGCTCTTATAGGGAAGAACGGTTTTGTTCTTTTTGGAGGGGGTCTTCAACAAAAAGTAGATCCGTGGCTTGCAGCAGCCCTTCCAGCAGCTGGTGCAGGCATGGACACGGGCGGAAGAGATCGCCACAGCCTGAGCAAATCACGGCCCGGCTCCGCCCTCTTCCTGAGTCCCGACCCATACTCAAAGACTCCTGCAGCAAACCTGCCGAACAAGTTTCTCCCTTCCAAGTGGGGCGGAGTTTCCAGAAGTTGCGCTCTTAATCCTGCACCCAAAACCCCTAAACCCCTAAACCCTAAAAACCCTAAACCCTATAACCCATAACCCTAAATTCTAAACCCTATAAGCCCTAAATCCTGGGGCCAAGAAAAGAAAGTGCCGAGGCCTTGGCTGCGGAGGCAGCTCCCCCGGCTCCCGAGGCGCCAACCCAGGTGGCGGCGCCTCCGGGCGACCCCAGCGCCTTCGGCCGCGCAAGAAGCAGCCCTTTGGGGGGGTGGGGGGTTTAGGGTTTAGGGTTTAGGGCTTCGGGTTTCGGGTTTAGGGTTTAGGGTGCTTGAAGGGGCTTGCGGCACACTCCAGGAATCTAAACATGCTGGATGCTGAGCAACAGACAATGATGCAGCATTCCGGCCTTCTGTGCCCAGATGCGTCTACGAACACCACCACCGCCGCCACAACCAGCAGCACAACCACGCCTGGCTCTCAGCGCCCGTCCTTTCTGCCAAGAGAAGCTGCAAGCCCTAAGGGCTTCAAGGCTTCAAGGACCCAGAGCTTGCGACCCGTGCTTTTGACGTTGATGGGTTTCTCAGGACGACGGAAATCGATGCGCGAGCCCTGGCAGTGTCTCACAGGGCACAGGGATCACGTTACACAGCTTGCCACGTGTTTCCGGCTTCACCTTTCCTCCGTGATCCTCGTGAACTAATGTCAACAGTCCCGGTCGGCAGGTAAAGGGCCTGAGTTCAGGATCTAGCTACGGCAGCACATCCAGTAGTCAATAATATTTTCGCTATTGGGTGCAGGATCGAGTGTTGTGTTCGTGCTTCGGTCGCAGAACCCATCTTCCATGTCAGCACAGCACGAGCACCTCCCAATTATCCGCACAGGAGGCTCGTGCCTCAGAAGCCTCAGAACAACTAGAAGGGCTTCAAGAACAGCTTCGACCTACACCTTTACAACGCTTCGAAGCCTCAACAGCCCTACAACCCTTTTTGGCCAACAACCGTCGACTCGACCCAAAAGCAAGCCTGTTGAGCCCAGGCCCTGCCGGTCCTTCAGGCCTTCGGTTTCGCCTCCTTGGGGGCGAGCTGCAGACCTTTGTTCTTGTTGTAGAGTTTAGGTTTCAGGGTTTAGGGGTGCTTTGTTTAAAGAAAAGAAAGTGGAGGGGGGAGGGGTGTTAGGGGGTTTCACCTCAACATGGAGCCTAGACGGCATCTCTTGATTTGATCACGCAAGAGCTCCCCCTACAAGCCCCAAACCCTCAACCTTACCCGTCCCTCCCCTTGACCCCTGCGCCAGGGCCGAAATTGGGTGAACCTGGGCCAGCGCAGCGAGGCTACCCCTTTGCTCTTGAGGGGTGCTAGGTTTTCTTTTTTTTTTTGGTAGGGGGCGGAGGGGGGGGTTTAGGGGTTGAGGGACCCTAGGAGCCGCCCTAAGCCTCGGAGGGGTTGAGGGGCCCCAAACCCAGACCTCCGAGGGTTTAGGGTTGAAGGCGCAATAGAAGGACTCCAACGCACATTTTGGAGGTTCATGATACTTACTAACCAATTATAACTGTACTTATAGCCCACTTACAAGCCCCTTACGTGCCCCAACATGGTCATCATTGGGTCATAAGTACAGTTATTGGGTTAAGAAGTACCATGAACCTCCAAGCAGGGTCCTTCAAGCAGTCCCTTCCTGAAAGTCGGAAGGTGCAGCTGCGCTTGCTCACACAGCGGCCCTTCCCGGCCTGCGTGCCTTTGTCGCAGCATGGGCTCGCATCTCGGGGAGGTTTAAGGTTGGGTGAAGTTGGCGATGGCACGCCTTCACTTCTTGAAAGCCCTATAACCTTCAAGGCTCCCAAGCCCTCGAATCCCACATTTCTCACTCTGTTACGCAGCGGGCTCCGGGGCATCTAACCTAAACCCTAAACCCGAAAAACCCTGAAACCCTAAACCCTAAACCCTATGTTAAGTCCCTCTGAGGAGCTGCTGCTGCGATTTCCAGTGCAGCTGCCCGGGCCTTGCACGACATGGCGGGCTTCTGGATTTCAGGTTGGAGGGTGCTGAAGGGGCTCAGGGTTTAGGTATATGGTAGTGAAGTAGGTAACCTTTTAGCCTTGAGGTAGCAAGTCTCACGCCTACTCGCTGGGAACTTCGCTTTGCACAGGGCGGGCTCTAACCTTGTTTCGGGGCATTATAAACCCTATACGATCCCGAAGCTGAACCTAAGGTGGTTAGGCTTCTGCATTGCTTTCCAGTAAAGCTGCGAGAGGAAACCTCGGCTGGATGGTTTAGGGTTTCGGGTATTTGGATTTAGGGCACGCTTAGGACTTCCCTACAGTCACTACCATGAAACTGTGGAGCAGAGTCCTTCAGATGAGCGGCGCCATGGGCTCCAAACATGGCATTAAGTAAGGAAACCCTTCAACGAGCCTCAACGCCTTGAACCCTGCATGGACTGCAATCCATACGAACATTGCAAGCCGAAGAAGAACGGATGAATCAAAGAAAAGATACCTTGTTCAAGAATCTTGAACAGCAAAAGCCAATTACCGTTTAAAACTTTCCCCTGTCACAGCAGTACCTAGCTAAGTTACCTCTTCGAATCCACATCTCCATAGAAGTCCTTCAACCCCAAACGAAAGCCGAAAGCTCCTCCTGCAAAGGCCGAGCCGGGCGCCGAGGCTCAACGTGTGGTACGTGACCTTGGTGGGCCTGGCGCGACTTGAGCTCCGGGTATTTGCGGTTTAGGGGTTTTAGGGTTTCAGTGTTTTAGGGTTTTAGGGTTTTAGGGTTTTAGGGTTTTGGGGTTTTGGGGTTTTAGGGTTTTGGGGTTTTGGGGTTTTGGGGTTTAAGGGTTTAGGGTTTGGGACTTCGTGGGGCTTTCAGAGGACGCGCGAAATTGCCCAGAAGCCTCAACCCATAACTGTGGCCCTTACTTGGGTTTGGTGCCTGTGTTCCAAGCCCATCTAGGAGGACCGTTTGGTTAGCAGGCATTGGGATTCCTGGGGGTGGAAACCCCCCTTATGAAGGCATCACGTCCGACAGCTTTTGGGAGGACTTGGGCCCCTTGAAATAAGGCTGGGCTACCACCCGAAGCCCTAGACCCCCCCCCCCAGTGGAAGGCGTTTGCCGCCAACACCTCCGGCGAGGGAGCCCAGACTCGAGCTGGGCGCCCTCTGAAGAATGGTCCCTTTTGTCGGGGAAGGGAGGAGATGCCCTAAACCTGTAAGGCTCCCTAAACCCGAAAACCCTAAATCCTTATATCCCTAAATGAGGGTTTAGGGATTTGGGTTTAGGGTTGAGTGCTTAAGTATCTGAACCCTCGAACTCCCAAGGTCACTTCGATGCCGACGTTGCCTTTGCTCCAAGCTCAGCCCGAGTTTCGCTACTTGGGTGGGTCGTTCTTGGCGGTGACTACCAAGCACGTGCGAAGAACTCTTGGTGCTATCGTCTGAGTATGGGGTGGGCGGTGGGCAATTTCAGTTTAGGGGTTCAAGAAGGGAGTCGGCTCTTGGGGCTGGGCGCTGGAGGGTGTAGAGCGGATGCAGAACTCAAGGTGGTGCCTAAGTCCTTGGGTCGTATTTGGCAGTCGCATGTTTGTCATGACCATGGTCGTTCCCCCTAAACCCTAAACCCTAGACCCTAGAAGGTGTTCTAAGAGAGCCGGCGGCTGTCGGCTTTCAAGCCGTGCAAGTGCTCCGAAAGAGGTGGTTCCCGGCTTCGACTTCTTCCAACAGCCTCCTGCGGCCGAACACGCGTGGCTCTGGCCTTTTGAAATGAGGGTTCGGGTTTTGGGCTTCTAGGGTTTGGGTTTCGGGCTTAGGCTCAGGTGCTTGAGGGGGTCGCGGTCAGATCAATGGCACTTTGCAAGATCAAGCCGGTCTTGACACCGAGGGCGAATGGTCCTACATCCAACTCCCCCGACGCAAAGTGCAAAGCCGCGTGAGCTACTGGCTAAAGTCCCAAGCCCTAAACCGTAAACCCTAAACCTTAATCAAGATGTACCCCCCGTTCTCCCAAAGCACGGGTGTCTCCGTGTCACTTCTTTCCTCTGGCTGTCTATAGGGTTCAGGCTTGTGAGGCCTTAAAGGCAAAACGCTGCGCCAGGCAACACATCTTCGACTACGCGGGCTATGACTACTACCAGTTCTCGACACAGAACGTGGGTGGCGGCCCCTGTGCAAAATGCCTCATGGAATCCTCCCAAGAAACCCTGTACTTTGCGTGGCCGATGACCTTGAGATGTGGGCCCGGATTCGACAGAGCATCTCAGATGTTGAGCTGCTAAGCCGCACCCTGCACCCAGCTTGGGGCAATTGGCAAGCTGAGAAAAGACCACAGCGCGGAAGTGATACGAAATGAGCCCTTGGCCATCCGAAGCCCTAAGTTCAAGGGAGGGTTCAGGTACCTCGGCTGGCTGAACGCGGAACAGTAGGAAGAAGCAAAGTCTCTCCTAGGGTCCTGAGCGTCCGAAGTCCTCTGAATGCAAAGAAGGCGCGGCCAGCATCCGGCGCATTGCGCCACTCGCCATGCCGGAGGACTCAGTCCTTTCTAGTGCTTCTACCAGGACCTTTCAATGTTGCTCTCATAGAGTGTTCTGGTGGTGTTCTTACCCTATTGGTTTGGTAAACTTCTCCAGATGTTCGGTCCTTTTCTCTTTTTGTTGCTGTTTGTTTTGGGGCGGGGGCCGGGGATTCACGGGGCATAGGGGACACACCCAAAGGGGCCACAGCTGTTGGAGAGCTGCCACAAGTTCTCGAAGGTTCCTGGCCTTGGCCTGGGCGCTGCTTCCCTGAGGCTCTTTGGGAGGTCCTGCAGCCTTGTCATGAGGGTAAGGCAAGCGTTTGGTGTTTGGAGGGTTTTAGGGCTATTTAGTTTCTAGGGTTTAGGGTACCCCCGCAGAGCATCCCGACAGTGTGGCTGAGGGTCTAAGTTATTGCGTATTTGTTGGGCCTCTAGAGTCAGCGTCGCAGAGGAGGTGACCTGTTGTCCGTGTTATGCGTTGCGTTGTCCGTGTTATGCGTGCATTGCTTCACCTATAGAATGTGTTCGGGCTGTGAGCCTCTGGTCAGGCTCAGCAATTCAAAGGAAGCAAGTCGGAAGGTGCAGCCGATTGGCAGACCTACTCGCCTGACACCCAGTGTAGCGGCTCAACCGCTACCACCTTAGCTCTTGGTGCTTTACCAGCCTCATTCATCTTCTCCCGCGTGGACTATGCACCTGACTCTGCCTTCAAGCTGAGGCTTGAGCCTCACCGCGAGCCCTGCAAGGTGATGAGCCCGCCTGACCCCATGGTGCCAGGAGGCTTGGCCTGCTTTAAGGCTACTCACGCTAAAGCGCCCAGCAGAAGCTTCATTCCAAGTGAGCCCCTGACGCCTCAGCCGGCTTCTGCCAAGCCAGGGCCGCGCTGTGGGGGAGAATAGGGCCGCGGCCCGGTGCTCGGAAGAGCGGTTTTTGCACTTCTCCTTTTGTTGTCCGTACTTGTGCCAGTCATATCGGAAGCGCACGCATATTCCGTGAAGGATTCCAGACCCTGATTGGAAAGAGCCATCCACTTATCTAGCATTCCACCAAGAAAAACAAAAGCCAGTTCAGTTCTGCACTGTCCCGAGCTCGTTTGTGCCGTGAACTGCCTCCAGTTTAAACTCCTTAGCAAAGCTGAGCTCCGCTTGGACTGCGCACGGATTTCTTCGGCTCAGGCGGTCCGGCGGTGCTGCCGCAGAAACATTGCACGGCAGGCGGCTTTATGACAAGGCCACAAGGCTTGGGGGGGGGCATTGCTGAGAAAAGAATCATGGAAGCACATCAAGTGTCTTTTGAAACTCGCTCACCTCCCCTGACACGCAAAGAAGAAGAGGCGCGGGCTTCTTGAAGTTTAACTGCAGCTGTTGGCGACCAGGGCTTGATAAACCTGCGAAGGATTCTACGTACGGTATGGGTTTTGAAGGCGGGAGAATGGGTTGCTATCCCACAGGCTCTGGCAAGCATGAGCTATTAAAAGAGTGTGACTCTTCTTGTTGCACGATGCAAGCTCGATTCTACTCAAGTCCTATAGTCTTTGTCGTCTGGTGCAGCTCGTCCCGCTTATGTCGTCCTTCTCTTCTGGTTCCTTCAACGGCATTGTCAGCTTTTACGTTGACAGGGTTTCACGACTTACCTGGAGAGTAAAGCGGGCGTGAAAGTTTCTCAAAGCAATGCTCTCCTGTTGTAGGCATCACGACCTACGAAGTCAACAGGGTTTGGGGTTTCGGGTCTAGGGCAGCAGGGCCCGTGCAAGTCTTTCATCAGGTGCGAAGCAAGATTCTGCATGAGCACGAGCCAGGTGGGCATTGGCGCAGCATGTGCAGGTTTAGGGTTTAGGGTTTAGGGTTTAGGGTTTAGGGTTTAGGGTTTAGGGTTTAGGGTTTAGGGTTTAGGGTTTAGGAGGTAGACTTTGCTGTTGGAGTTCAGAATCACAAAGCCACAGTTCTATTGATAGTAGCTACAGCTGCAAGTCCGATTCATCTTAGGGGATCCCTTAACTCCGCGCCCGAGTGTTTTTCTTCAGTTGGGGCTCCGAGCAAAGGTCCTCGCCAGCTTCGACTCTTCACGCGGCATGATCACGGGGGTGGCCCTGGCCTTGAGTTTTTCAAGGGCTTGGGGGTGCTTTGGGAGGATTTAGGCTTTGAATTGAGGGGGGGGGAATCAACAGTCAAATTAAGGTCTTTTGGATGCTTGGTGAGATGTTGAGATTTAAGAAGGCCATGTGCAAGACCTGCAGAATTAGCGGCCGAATCTGCAAATCTGGCCTCGGGCAAGTTTGAGGTACCTTTGAGTTCAAGGTTAGGCCTTACAACCCGAAGCACCCAAGCCCATAACCCTAAACACCCTAAAGCCCAAAAACCCTAAACTCCAAATCCTAAACTAACCCAACCTCTGAACCTCCTCAAATGCAACGCAGCCACCATATCAACATGACACATGTGGGGGGAGCTTCGGGCAGCCGCACAAAGCAAAAAAGCAGAAGCAGAAGCCACCGGTGTGGAGCTTCGACGCTCTAGTTGAAGGTTCGGGGTACTTTTTAACCAAGTATGACTGTACTTATAACCCACTGATAAGCCCCTTGATATGGTTATAGTTGGGTCATAAGTACAGTTCAGTATTGGGTTAAGAAGTGCCCTGAACCTCCAAGTACTTCCCAATCCTTGAGGGGACTCGGCTTGGGAGGAGTTTGGTGCTCCAATCCACGCGAAGCCTGGCAAACCCCCAAACAGCCATCCGGAGCCCACCCACAGGCTGAAAGTCTTAAGGTCGTTTTTTGGTGAAGGGCCCAAGTTCGCCTCAAAAATGAAAACAAAACACTCAGCGAAGGCCGAGCCGGGCGCCAAGGTTCAGCGCTGTGCTACGTGGCTTTGGTGGGCCTGGCGCGACTTTTGAGAGAGAGAGAGAGAGAGAGAGTGAGAAAGAGAGGGGGAGAGAGAGAGAGAGAGAGAGAAAGAGAGCGAGCAGGGAAGCCTGGGTGAAAGAGCGCCTGCACGACCCGAAACCTTATACCCTCCTTGCCGTGCAGTGGTGAAGGCATCGTATCCTTGTGCTTTTAGGAAGACTTGGTCTTTGAACCCTGAAGCTCAACTAAACCAAAAGACCATGTGCCCCTTGTCCCTGACAATGACCTTAAACTCTAAAACTCTTTGGAAGGCCTTCGCCGCCAACACTTCCCGTGACGGAGCCCAGACTCGAGCTGCGCACTCTTGAATATTTCTTAAGGCTCTGACAGTTCGAATGAGAGCTAAGGGGCCATCATTCCGAGAGCTTCCCAGTTGTTGCGTGTAGAGAAGATGTGGGCCGCTAACACGACCACTCTCAGTTTGAACCTGCGTTTGGGGCTCCCATTTTGGGCCGAAAGGCGTCCTCCCTGTTGGGAAACTCAAGCCGAAGACGCTGAGATCCAGCCATGCCGTGAAGACAGCGGACCTCCGATCTTATATAGCCTGGATGGACATGACTCGAAACCCTTAAACCCAATAGAGCCTGGAAACCTTGAATGTCCAAGGCCGCTTCGACGGGACCTTTGGACGTTGCCCCTTGCCCCAAGCTCAGCCCGAGTTCCGCCACCTGTGTGGGTCGCTTTCGGGGTGTTGACGTTCAAAAGAAAGGTCCTTGGGTTGTGTGTGGAGGCATGAGTGGAGAAGTGACCCGCATTTTGCTTCTCTTGTCGCTTCTCCTTGCCGCAAAGATACAGAACGGGAGGAATGTCAGACAGACTGCCGACGCCATAGACGCACACAGCCATTGCATGTTGTCATAGCCATGGCTGTTCAGGGCTTCTCAGCTTGTTCTAGGATTATAACCTGGAATTGTGGTAATCACTGGGGGCGATGTCAGGAATTATTTTTGTGATTAAAGTGTGTTTTTTTTGTAATCGGTATGTGTGAATAATCTGTAGCTGTGGCGATGTGGGGTTTGGAATCTGTGAAAAAAGTGTAAAAAATGTGATTCTGCTGTTCCTGGACCGTTGGCATCTGTGAAAAATCTGTGAACAATCTGTGAAAAATCTGTGAAAATCTGCGAAAAAAGTGTGAAGGAAATGTGACAAATCTATGCCAGCCGCAGCTCAAGTGAAGGACCCCGCGTGTGGTTGGCTACTAGACTAGTGAGTGACTAGTGACGTAGCTACTTGATTAGACTGAAGATTTTGACACTTTCAGCAAGCTACACTCTATCGAATCTTAGCCTATAGGCCGTTATACACATGTTTGGCTGGCGGGTTCGACGTGGGAAGCTGGCCAATGTTTATTCTTCTCTGCTCACTTCTCTTTCGGACTTGCAGGCTTAACGTTTAGGTTTAAGTTTAGTTTTAATTAAGTCTTTAAGTTTACTTCAGTTTAATTTTAGTTAAACGGGGATGCTGCTACGGCCGCTGGGGGGTTCCAGATGGCGTTCAAGCACAATTGCAGAAGGATTCTCTCTGTCCCGGGCATCGAATATATTGATCATCTATCTGAAGATCAAATTCGGCCCGAACTCATAGAGTTTTCTGTTGGCTTCTAAATCTTAAATTAAACTTCGACGTATGTCTGAGATTTTCAATAATCTTAACAATCAAGGAATGTGATGCGCGGGATAGATGCTTGGCGGGGGGAGGGGGGGCGGGGGGGGAGGGGCGGGGAAGAGGGGGGGGGAAGAGGGGGGGGGGGGGGGGGGGGGGGGCGGGCTGGGGGCGGGGGGCGGGGGCGGGTGGTAGGGGGCGGTGGGTGGCAAATTTTTCACACTTTTTTCACACTTTTTCAAACTTTTTTCACACATTTTTCACACTTTTTTCACAAATTTGCCGCTATTTGATTTTAATTAAATTTTAATAAGATTTAAATTAAATTTTAATTAAAAATTACAATTTTAATTATCTTTTTAATTAAGAATTAATTTTTTAATAAGAACTTATGTAAATTTTAATAAAAATTACAATTTTAATTAACTTTTAATTAAAAATTAATATTTTAATAGGAATTCTTATTAAAATAGTAATTTTTAATTAAAAAGAATAATTAAAAAATCGTAATTTTTAATTAACATTGAATTAAAAAAAAAAGTCTTAATTTTTAATTACAATTTGACTGTTTTTTTAATTAAAATTATTATTTTTAATATAATTCCTATTATATTTCCTATTAAAGAACATTGTTAATTAACAAATAGATAAAATTTTAATTTTTCATTAAATTTTAATTAAAAATTACATTTTTATAATTCTTTGTAATTAAAATTAATACTTTAATAGGAATTCTTATTAAAATATTTATTTCTAATAAACAAGCTAATTACAATTGGTACTTTTTATTTAAATTTTATATAAAAGAGAAAATAATTAATTTTTACTTAAAAAAAAACAAAAAAAAAAACACCAACCAATTAGATTGTAATTTTTTAATTAAATTGGAATTAAAATTTCTTAATTTTAAATAAGGTTAATTACACTTTAATAAAACCACATTTTTAATTATCTTTTTACTTGAAAATGAATATTTAAATAGGAATTCTTATCAAAATATTAATTTTTAATTACAAAGATAATTATAATTGTAATTTTTAATTTAACTTTTAATAAATTCTTATAAAAGTATTAAGTTTTAATTAAAATGATAATTAAAATTGTAATTTTAAATTATAATTTAATATAAATCTTATTAAAATTTAATTAAAATCAAATAGCTGCAAATCTGTGAAAAAAAAGTGTGAAAAAAGTGTGAAAAATTTGTCCCCCCCCGCCCTGCCCCCCCCCCTTCCCCCTCCCGCCCCCTCCCGCCGCCCCCTTCCCCGCCCCCCACCCCCCCCCGCCACCCCCACCTCCCCCATTCTTCACTCCCCCTCCTTCCTCTCCCTCCCTCCCTCCCTCCTTTTTTCTTTCTCTCTCTCTCTCTCTCTTTCTGTTTCTCTTTCTTTTTATCTTTTTCTCTCTCTGTATATCTCTTCCTTCCTTCCTTCCTTCCACTGCACATGGCCCCCCTCGTCTCTCTCTCTCTCTCTTTCTCTTTCTCTTTCTCTTTCTCTTGCTCTCTCTTTCTCTCTCTTCCTCTCTCTTTCTCTCTCTTTCTCTTTCTCTTTCTCTCTCTTGCTCTTTCTCTTTTTCTCTCTCCATTTTTTTCTCTCTCTCTCTCCCTCTTTCTGTCTCCCTCTGTCTCCCTCTTTGTTTTTCTTTGGTTTGTTTGCGCAGTACAGAAAAAAGAGCGGATGCAACCGAGTGCCCAGCCGCTAGCCGCCAACCATTCACCACCGGTATCCGTTAGGCCAGGTACACACGTGTGACACCCCCAAGGCAACCCAAAACCATTGCGCAGAAAGACGACAGAAAGACAACGAAACAAGACACAGAAAAATCACAAAAAAATCACAAAAAAAAAAAAAACACAAAAAAACACAAACAAAACACACAAAAAAACACAGATTAGAGATCCTGACCAGAGGGCAGAACAAACAAGAAACACAGAAAAAACACAAATAAATCACAGATCCGACATGGGGACTCCAAGCATTTCTCAAATAAATCACAGATGCAAAAGACAAAAAAAACACAAATAAAATACAAAATGATTAAATCCTGAGATCCAATCTTTACCACGAAATCCCGGTAATAATTCTAGGAGTGGCGGCTGTCGGCTTTAAGGAATGGTTTGGGGAGTTGTCAAAACGGCTGCTGTGAGAAACCTGCCGGTTCAAAATTCAGATCCCAAAAACCCCCGGCACTACATTTTAAGTAGCTTTCCCTTCAGTAGTTGCAAGACACTGTGACCACGGCGTTCCTTTCATCGCGCCTCCGCCTCCAAGTCGAAGCTTTTTTTTTGAACCCTCGCAGGTTCCGAGAAGAAGGCGCTGGATCGATGAGCCACTGAGCCATTTGAGGAGGCGTGGCCCCTTGCAGGCCCTTGTAGCAAGCTTTTGTCGCAAATTGGGGACTTTGGGGGTTCATGGCACTCGAATTTTAACCAATGATAACTGTGCCTATGACCCACTTGCAAGCCCCTTAGGTGCCCCAAAATATGGTCATCGGTTATAAGTACAGTTAGTATTGGGTGAATAAGTACCCTGAACCTCCAAGGAGGTGCCAGTTGTGGTGGCAGTGGTGGCAGAGGTTTAGGGTTTAGGGCTTAGGGCGTAGGGCTTAGGTTTAGGGTTTAGGGGAAGAAGCTGAAACCTCCACCAAAGTTCACCTGGGATTCCGAGACGAGGTCCCTGGGGGTTCAGGGGGTCAAGCCCGAAGGCTTGGCGTCTTGAGAGCCATTCTGGAGCCCGCACCCTGCAGACCAAAACCTTAACTTCTTGGTTTTCTCTAGGCTACATGCGAATCATTTGGCCTTCGGCAAAGGGCCTGTGTGTCTTTGCGTCAACATCGTCTAAGGAGGGCCTCTCTGAGTTTAGGAAGAATTCCTTGTTTTTCTGTACAGGTTGAGGCTTCAGGGCTTATGGTACAGGGTCTTTAAGAGTGTGTTAAGGTTGCCTGCTGCCTGGCTTTTCATATGGCGGCTTTGGGCCGTTTCGAGCGTTTACGGATTTAACTGGGGGTTTGCAGGTCTAGCATGGTGCAGGAAAACCAAGGCGAAGCGGCCGCAGAGTCGTCGCAAGAAAATTTGGCAACGTGGCCCTTCGGTTGCTTGCACTCTTTTTCTTTCACTTCTCAAGTTGTGTGACACATGAGCAGCTTCTTCTGCCAAGCAGCAGTGGAAAGGAGACACATTGCTTCCGGAGGCCTACAGGTCTCTACTTCCCGCTTAGTTGCCAGATACTTCCCATGTCCGGTCTTCTCAAGCTCGATTGGTCCCACTGGATTGGGCGTTTCTTCTCTGCTGTACGGAATGCCGGAGCCGCTGTCCAAGACCTCCTTGATGAGGCCGGTGCATCCGTTGGCCATGTCACCAAGCGCCGTGCCAAGCAGCTGAGGATGGAGATCTTGGACGCAGCTCGTACGGAGCTGAAGGCTCAGCTGCAGGAGCCAGAATCCGCGGCTGGCAGCGTTTCCAGTGACATCAAGTCCCAGACAACAAAGGACCTCGAAGTGGTGATCACTGGGGTTGAGTCGCAGCTGGAAGTCCTGATTTCAGACGCAGGTGCAAGTTGACCCAGTGTGAGTGTGTGAGTGTGTGTGTCTGTGTGCGCAATCGGTTCCTAGAGTCGTAGAGTTCTACGAAGAGGAGAGTGTTTTTTTGAAGCGTTCGCGCAACTTGCGGGCAGGTGCCGGCGACGCGGATGCGGTGGAGTCCACGGGTGAGCTTGCCGAGCTGGACGAGCAGGGGAACCACCCAGCGGTGGTCCAGGTACAAGCCGTTTGTCAGGAGGTTGGAAGGGTGTTTAAGGCGGAAGAGGCACAGAACAAGTTTGAGCTCGTGAAGGCGAAGCTGGAGGAAGGTGACAAGTGGTTCAGTTGGCTCAACAGTGCCCGTCTTGAGCCGAGTCCACCGGCATCTAGTGAAGCATGGGAGGAGGTCGTTCGTTCTTGGTCTGTTTCCTTGGAGGCGAGAGTTGCCGTCGTCCAGGAGCAAGTGGCCAAGGCGGAGGCTTTGGCTCAGGAGGCGGCGTCGAGGTTTGAGACAGCCAAGAGACACCGAGACGCCAAGCAAAGAGCAAGGACTGAGATGGAGACCAAAGCCCGCGCACAGCGTGAAACTCTGAAGCTCACGCGAGAAGAGTCTGCTTCGAACCATCAGCGGGCTGCAGACAGAGCCAAAGTCCAGGTGAACAGTGGCAACATCAACATCCCGGAGCTCAAGGAGGTTCTGGCCCAGGGCAACACTGTTTGGGTGTAGCTTGAAGACAGCGGCCGTGTCAGCAGCCACCCGGCGGATCGGCAAAGCTCTGCTGTTAGGGATGGGATACTTTATGGCCAGCATGTCTGGGCCGAGCTAGAGGCCCGGTACTTGTTGCTGCAAAACGGTGCCCCCCTGAAGCTTGGCACGTTTCAAGTTGACGTCGGGGCAAAGCTGTTCCACCCACACACGGGAAGTTTGTACGACATTGCCTTGGACGAAAAAGTGCCCTTCCAAACGAATTCCTCCTCCAAGTATCGTCGCGATATCGTCCGCGTGGTGCTTGACAAGGAGGCCGGGGCCTTGGAGGAACGACTTAGGCAGCAGCATCAGCAGCTTGCGGCTGAGTATGAGCAGGCTGAAGGGAGGCTTGCCACGGAACTCGCGAAGCAAGCACGCTTGGTGCGCGAGGCGGAGGTGCTGAAGTTGAAGGCAGCCGAATTGGCCAGCGGCCTCAACAACATTTCTGGCCAGCTTTCCTTCCGCCTCCCCAATGGAGAGACCATAGGCGAGGCGGCCATCCCCTTTCATTGGGAGGACATGGGGACGAAGATGTATGCGGAGGTCCCCTTGGACCCGGACAGTGAGGAGTTCAGAAAGATCAAAGCATACTTCCATCGGGGCCCAATTTAGATTCATTATGATTCGTTGGTGTGTAGTCAGGTGCCTCTTTCAGCTGGTTCCTCTCTGCCCACGCAGGCTAACCTTGAGCAAGCCCGTGAGAAAGCTCCTGGCAGGCTGATTCGCAGGCTTGCTTTTTCAGGTTGGGGGGGGTGCTTGGCCGTGTAGCAGAGGCTAAACGTTGCGAAGCCCTTGTGGTATTTGGGGTGCTTCGCTGAAACATCCCGGGCCTCGCATCACGGGTACGTCTGTCCGCTCGCAGCATTCAGTCTTCTGATTCTCCCCATGACCCAGAAAAGGTCTAAACTAGGGTCCCATTTCGGTTCCCCCAATGGCCCAATGGCACACGGCACACACATCATACGGGACTTCAAGGGCATCCCAAACCCAACCTCTAAAATAAACCGCCCTAAACCCTAAACCCTAAACCCTAAACCGCTCCCTAAGCTCAACTCCCTAAACCCATCCCATACCCCATACCCACGTGTGTGCCAGGAAAGGCAGGGCGCCTCGGCCACCGCGAGCCCCTCGGGGGGGAAAGGGGCTCCATCTGGCCGAGCCGAGGCTCCAAGGACAGAAAAGCGCCGGGTCGTGACATCCTTGTGTACTATGCTAGGTTGGGGCTTTTGGTGTGTTTTTATGTTCCTTATTTGGGTTGATAAAAGACCCTACGTATAAATAATTTTCAGAGAATGGGAAGACCAAAGTGTAATATATATATATATATACAAATACGATGTTCACCCCCCCAACAAAAATCACGTATCGTTTTGTTGGTGTTGATATGATACGTTGTTGCTTAGGATATATGTAAAACGAACATATATTCTAAATAAGAAGGTTTTCAAATATTAAGGTTGCAATGATTATTTTTTTCAAGGCTTACACGTACAAGAAGCTTCTATTCTTAAAAGCACCAATTAAGAACTAGAATGAAATCTTTTCAACGATAAGAAAATATACGATAGGCCCGTATCTCGGAATCAGGCCCGTATCTCGGAATGTATTTATCTTAGAAATTTAGATATTATTTGAATGTGTTCGGTCTTATAAAGCAAGATGATAATTTGACTTCTGGACTAGATATTTTTATCTTACGAATACGAAAAGAGTGAATATATAATAAATTTCGCAAGTTCTCTTATTAAATCCTGCGAATTTATAGAAAAGATATATCAAAAATTCAAAATTGTATTCATATCCCCATAAAAGGCTACGGGCTCGACCCCTATTTTCGTTCTGCGGCCGCCTTGTCGGATGCCCCGCCACCTCTTCCGGTCAATTTGGCTGCTTGTGGGGGGCCTTGCAGTGGGATCCGGAAAATTCCGGGAATTTTAGGACTATTCTCCAAAAATCCTAGGAATTTTGGGAATCACCCGGACCCGAAAATGTCGGGAATTTTCGGGATCCCCCGAGTTCAGGGTTTAAGGGTTTTACGGTTTAGGGTTTTGGGGTTTAATAAAAATTGTATAGGGTTTGTGTCCGGAGTTTTGTCGTGGTTTCGGGGTTTTGTTTCTTGCTTTCGTTGTGATGGTTTGGGTTTTGTCGGGTGTGGTGGGGGGTGGGTGGTTTTTTGGGGGGCCGAGGGGCTGCAGCTGAGGGGCTGCGGCCGAGGCTTGGGGCTGAACGGCTGGCAGGGCCGAGGGGGGCTAGGGTTGAGGGGGGCTGAGGGGGGCTGAGGGACTCAGGGCTTGAGGGCTTGAGGGGGAGGGAGGAGGGGCTGAGGAGGGGTTGTCAGGGGTTATTGAGGGGTTGTTGCGGGGCTGCTGAGGGATTGTTGAGGGCTATTGAGGGTTGAGGCTTCCTACATTTTGTGGGGTTTTGTGGGTCTATTTGGAGGGGGGGGGGGGGGGCTTGGAATCGGGG